AAAAACATTACAAAAACGTCATTCAGCGCCCAAATTGTTTTCGTATGTTATAAAAGAATTGTTTCATGCTTTTAGCTGGGCGTCTATCGAGTTATGGATGCACTTTGGAGGTTTGGAGAGCACTCAATAAGCTAGAGTTGCTCTCGGCTGTGCCTGGAGCAACTCTTACGCTTCTCTCGTGCTCTCCAAACTCCCCGCGTGCATTCATAACACGATAGACGTACGCTAAGCATGAAACAATTCTTAAATATACAATGCCGGAATATATATATCGAGGGATGCGAAGAAAAGAATGTGATCGTAATTGGTTTCACATGACCTTTATCCAATCAAAAGATTTTTGTCATGGACAGTAAAAGCCTAGCCATCCGCTTGCACTGTGTCAAACACCGTACATGAAAACACTATAAAGTGCAGTTCCACGGAATGACCCTATAGATGCACCATCGGTACTTGCTATCCCCAATTGTTGTGGCTTTAAAGCTTAGGTGTGCAGCGAAGCAAATTTATTCCAATTTTGGGGTTTCTTGCCCAATTAATGGACCCAAGTACAATTTTCGTTGCATTAAGTTGCCAGTTTTTTTATTTGGGGGGGGGTATAGCCTGCAGATGGATAACAAAAAGACACTCAACCTAACAATAATTTAGTTTGGAATCTCTCTTTTACATAACCTCGTTATTTCATTCCCCGAGATAGTTCGCCTTCGTGATCCAAATTATGTTTTTTTTCATTATTGTTCACAAACCCGTTCATTTCAGGAATTTTACGCTTTTACAATCTTCAGTTGTTGCTTTGCGACATTGTTTTCAAATCCATCAAATTTGAAAGCAAGAGAAAGGCCAAAGCGAGAAATCTAATTGGCTTAAAGGTAAAACCTATTCAGTCAGAACAGTGAATATCTACGACTTATGTGATGTCAAGTCTACTCTGATGCTTTGAACACAATTTCATTGAGTAGCTAGGCATATCTTTTCTTTTTGATTCAAGTCAACTTTAATGAGATATTCTGAGTAGTTAGCGGCCCAAGAACACAAATTTTTCCTTTATTTAACTAAGCATCTGGGCATATCTTTGGTTTTCGATGCAAGTCGTCTTTAAAGAAATATTTTGAGTAGTTAGCGGCCCAAGAACACCTCTCTTTCGTTCGTTTAATCCAGCGGCTAGGCATATCTTTCCGCTTACATGTTAGTCGACTTCAATAATGAGATATTTTGAGTAGTTGGAGGCCCAAGAATACCTCTTGTTCTTCTGTTTATCATAGACCTTACGTGCAAGTTGTTATTAAGACACCTCCCCCTAGGAAAAATGGCTCAATATATTCTTCTAAGGATATTTTTCTTTTCTAACAACGTATCAATAAACTGTAATGTATCTGTGATGTTTTCCTCCTTACCCTCACTATAACAACTGTATTCGCGATGTTAAAACACAGTACAACTAGCATTACGAATTATTAGTGCATGGAAAAAGGGCGGTGATTAGCTGATTTATTCCTATATTTTAAGTCATTTGCTCATATCCTGAATTGGCTCTACACTCAGATGAACATAAACTAAAGGCACTTTCTTAAAAAATGGTGCTGTGTTTATTTCGGGTGCCATTGCCATTTTTCTGGCGGTACAATCACAGAATAAACGCATTGGATCTGAGAGAAAGAATAGGGGGCAATCAATAAACGTCCTCACAAACTAATTCATAGTATATCACAATCGGTCTGCGATTGTTAGAAAGGTGTATGCTTTCTTTGGACTTCTGAGGCCCTATTAAATTCCCTACATTACTCGTTAAATGTTGAAATGTTTGTATTTTGCGCTTGATTGCACGACGACGTCACCATTGCACTCCATTTCGATGAAGTAATTTGAGTGGTTGTCAGCCCAAATTTGCATGCTGAATCTTATCTATTGTTAATTTTTTTATAGACATCATGTCCAATCTTTTTCCAGCCAGCTGTGAACTCGCATTCCCGACTTAGTGTTACTTAGCTATATAAATACCCCATTTCGGGTGTGGTCATGAAACAAATCTCCTTTAGGCGAGCGTAGACCCAAACACTTCACTTCAATTTGGCATGAAAGTAAAATAAAAGCTTTGTCATAATAAGTTAATACGTCATCAATTGACAGGTCTGGAATATTGGTGTGATAAAAACGATTTCTCTGCCCGTGTTGGTCTGCTTATTTA